CAAGTACATGTATGGAACAAGAAGAAAGATGCCTTGAGGGTATCTCAGAAATCAGCAATCCCCAAATTATTGCAGGTTTAAGAGTCCAAGAGTGTCAACTTTCATTTCAAAAGAGAGTCCCTTGGACTTCTTCTGCCCAAGAAGGGCCTCCCAAGTATGGTGAATCAGTATCCAAGGATTCATTTCACTGTGCTTAGCCATCCAGGCAACCAATGGCTGATGTAACCATGGTCAACGCTGTCAACAGGCAGGAAGTGTCCATATGACTGGCTTTGGGACCTCCTCAGAGATTGGTGGGACACCAATGAGTAGGTCTAAGTACACCATGGAGATGTAACTCTAGGATCTAAATCTGGTCTCTCACTCATTACTCTCTGGTGCTGCTTCCATGCTCTGTTTCCCAGCCATGAATCAAGTATCTTTGCTTCCTTTTACCCTTCCAGTATGATGTTTCTGCCTCAGAGCCAGCAGACTATGGTCTGAATTCTCTGAAACCTAACTAATCCTCATTTAAACTGCGGGTGTTGGGTACTGTGTCAGAACAACAGCAAAGCTGAGGAATACTCCATAGCTAAAGTAAAAAAGTTAAAGATGAGCTTTGTATTAGTCAGCTATAAAAGAAATAAAGTACCTACATAGAACAAGAAAAAAGAAAGATGCCTTCAGAGTATCTCAGAAATCAGTAAGACCCTACCTACTTAGTGCAGTAGTTTGCTGAGACAAAATATCTACAGACATTTCAAGTCTTGGTCAGCTGGAAAATTCTTAAATTTTTAAATATTTTTTGGCCCAGTAAGTTTCCCTATGGAAATGTAAACAAGGATAATTAATTCAAACACAAAATTTAACCACTGAGGATTTCTATTAAGGAGAAATCTGTGTTAACTGTTAAACACAGTAATTCGATAACTCTAGGAGTTACTAGACTCAGAAAATTCTATGCCACTAAAAATAGCATGCAAAGATTTAATAACAAAAACATTGTTCATGCTGTAATACCTAAAGAATATTTATAATATCACCAAAATTAAAAATGTACATTCCTTTTTACCAAGCAATTCCAGTGGTAGGATTTTATACTAGATTTATATGTAAATATGCAAAAAATATGTTCAAAGGTTTTCATCACTAAATTATTTATTTATGTATTTATTTAGGTACTGGGGATAAAACTTGGGTCCCTGCACTTGCAAAGATGGTGCTGGAACCACTGAGATAAATCCCTGGCAAGGGGGGAGGGAGGGGAAGGAGGGGGGCGGGAAGCAATAGTTGCCACCTCCAGAAAAGGTTACCAAGCAGGTAAAAGACACATTTGACCATATACCCTTTTGTGCTTTTGCACTTTTTCCATCTGACTGACTGCCTTTTTCAGTCAGTTTTAAAAAAGATTTTTGTTGTTTTGGGACAGGGTCTTGCTCTATACTACCCACATTGCCTTGAACTCTCAATCTCCTTGCCTCAGCCTCCCAAGTACTTGGGTTATAGGTGCATGCCACAGTACCTGGTGATACACTAAGTTTAAAGCTTAAAATTTTAAATCCTTCATAGAAAAACAGTGCATAAAGAAACTGACCAACCAGAGCACTTTCTCTTTTTTACATGTTTTATTATTTTCCAAATTCCACTAATCATGCATCTTTTAACCCAAAAATGAAATTTTACTTGATAAACCAATAATTATCTATACAAATTTAAATATAAATAGTCATAGTTAAAAATAAGAAAGCTTCTGAATTTCCATTTTGCATTATATGAAATTTTTAAATCAAAATCAAAATATTATTTCATAAATCTTTCATAAAGCATTTTATGAAATTCTCATTTTTGTTCATTTTTGATCCATTTTACTGAATGGTTCAGATTCACAAATATGCTAAAAACAGTCTTTCTCTCTGTCCTATTCAGAGGCTTTAAAATGACCAAAGATGTCATTATTCATTCTCTATCAGTTGTTCTGATTTTAGAGTTAACAAATGTTTACCCTTTATAAGTAACAAAATATGTGAATTTAGACAGTAACCCAGAGAAAGGTCAACTATGTGGGCAGAACATTTCCTGTTCCCACTACAACTTTGATGAAGCAAATAGGAAGTCCTATAAGAGAGTTAGCCTCACTCGCATACTAAACAACCTGGACAAAACAGACTGACAAAGCCAAGGTCACCAATGAGTGACCAATTACTAATAAAATATACAAACAAAATGGGAGAAATGAAGAGTAGGTCTGAGAACAATTTTCTCATTGAGTTTATCGGTACTCTTTTAAGTATACAGTAAAATTACATTCATCATTGGGATCTTGTACCTTTACAGGACAGATATGGGTTCTCATTTTTTCCCCATACCCCTGTCATCCCTTTACCCCCTCCAACTTTCCCTATTTACAAAGACTTTGTGGCCCGGGGATTTAGCTCAGCAGTTCAGTGGCCTGCTTCGCAAGCGCAAGGACCCGAGTTCGATCCCTGGTACCACACACACAAAAAAAAGACTTTGTTCCCATTTTTTCCTTTTCTCACATTTTTTCTTTTTCCTTATTTCCTTTCCCCTGCCCTTCCCACTTCCCTTATTAGAACAAATTTTAAAAGCCTCAGGAAAGAAGGCAAACTCAATGAAACAAAAACCTCTTCAGAGCCCAGATCAGGAGAATTCCTTATCCATGTATATATATATATTCAGGAATATCAGACTGTGAGTAGACTCTATAGTCCTCATTCTACTGAAGCCAAATAGACCTCTTTCTAAAATTATTGCCTGATGTTATCTAAGTATGCCACCAATTGACTATGCCAAAGCTAGTAGTAGCATGGCCAAGAACTGAAACCAAGTCTAGACTATCAATCAGAATGCTACATTACCTCTAGCCCAATAAATTAAGCTTTTATCTTGTAAGAAGTCTTCACTGAAATAATTCAAATTTAATTTCAACTTTGCTAGACAAAAGAAAACAATGATATTTTAGATTATAAACAATCACAACCATGTTTCAATGAGATACTTCTCCTAGAACTGTGATAATTATCATCTGTAGTAGCAGCAACTGAAGGGGTAAAAGGAGGAACAGATAAACCCACACAAGCCCATGAAGCATCATTTCAGTACACCCTGCCTATAAGAGTAAAGGAGAATGAAGTTTGTATCTGCACTTCCTAATCATTGCAAAATATATGCCTTTCTCTGCCAAATGCTGTCATAACCTTGCACGTTAATTGTATTTCATCTTTTCACGAGTAAAATGGGGAAATGTGTGTACTTCTCTAAAATCCACCTTGAAGTATCAATGAAATGCATTAAGTAAGTTGAAGAAGGAACTCTGAAAAGACAAAGCTTAAGATCTCACAATGTCACAAAAATAATTTAAGACCAGATTTTGTTAAGACAACTTCTAAATTACAGTTTACATAAAATGATCCTGGGGCTAAGGAAACAGCTCAGTGGTACAGGATGTACTTAAGATGTATAAAGGCTTGGGTTCAAAAAAGATCTGTGGAACGATTGGCTTATACTAAAGCCACCCTGCACCATTTACCATAAACCGATTTCTGTACCACAAGTCCAAAATAACAACTAATTTGAAACTGAGTTAAATTTTATTTTAAAAATATAATTACACAGAAACATAGATGTTTCTGGCAATTCGCAGTGCTATATAATGTGTTAACCATGTTTAAATATTTGACTTGGGATAATCTATTCAACTTTTTATTTGCTTTATAATTCTTTTTATTTTTTTAATTTTATTGAGTTTATTGGTACATTTTAGGGATACAGTACAGTTACATTCATTGTTGGGATCATGTACCTTTATATGGCAAGTCTTGATTCGCATTTTTTCCCCTTACCTCTACCCTCCCTTCACCCCCTCCTCCCCTCCCCATCTACAAACACTTTATTTTCATCTTTTCATTCTCTCACATTTTTTTCTTTTCCCTTTTTGTTCTTCCCCTACGTATCACACT